GAGAGACCGAGTCTTAGAATTTCGCCCCAAGAGAAAGCCTAAAACATAATATGGGTATGGGTACTCGTCGGGTACGCATGTGTGGGCATGCACATATGTGAGAAGAAGTACTCACATATATGGGATTTTTGTCTGTGCAAAGGAGTATGTGAAGTGTGCGGGAGAGTAGAGACCACGGGCAGCTAGAGTGCGTATACTATAATACTCGCTCATCATTGTGCTAAAATGATTTAGAAACTCTATTTATTTCAGCCTTTAGCTACTTTAGACTTACTTAATTTACGCTGCTTAATATTTATTGTGATTCGTGATTTTGGTTTATTTTTATTTATTTAATTTTTATTTAAATTTTATTTTAAATAATTTTAATTTAACTAATTTAAATTAAAAATGAAAATTTAAAAAAAAAATCAGAAAACGACGAATTGGGAAAAATTCTCGCAAAAATAATCCTGCAAGAAGCTGGTTGCTCGTGCAGATGCTGGGCAAATGTGCGCGCATGCGCGCACAGTGGCTTCGGGACGTGCGCACAGTGTGCACGTCCCATCTGAACGCACGCACACACGAGATGTGCACACAGGGCGCACATCCCCTTCGCGTGCAAAGGGGATGTGTGCCGACTTAGTCAACCTATCTGAAAGTAATACTACAAGAAAGACGAGAACTGAGAGCATCCTAAAAACTAAACCAGAATCTGAAAGTAAATTGAGAGTCTCGATAAAAAATAATAGATATTAAAATACTGTGAGGACAGACGATCTCTCGAATATACAACTCAGCTAATCGATTGAGCAAATCAGTTGTCTTTATAGCCAAGAAGTGTGCCGACTTAGTCAACCTATCGATAATTACCCAAATTACATTATGTGCAGATGTTGCCTTGATGTGTCTGCCCTTTTTCTCAAGTATATTTTTTTGGACTTTTGGCAATTTTCTCAATCTCCGAATCGTAAAGTAGTCCTCCACGGTCAGTCTTGGTCATAAAAAGTAAAAACAAACAGTTAATCTCAACTCCCCGACAACGGTGCCAAAATTCGATGGGTATCGAATTCACCAAAAA